AAAAAAAAAAAAAAAAAAAAAAAAAAATGAAAAGCAAAGAAAGAAATCCAGTATTACCTTTGTTTATAAAAATAAAAATGCATCAAGAAAATCTTCCCAGTTGTCTTGTAACCACAAATTTATTGAAAAATCCAGACGGAAAGACCACTTTCTTTGCGATGTGCAATTTTCCACAACTTTATATAAGCAGTCTGAAACTGCAGAAGTTTTCCCAATGTGCAAGACATCTTGTGGATATTCCAGAGTTGGCTTGAAGTGTTTAACTTTTACCTGCTTTGTGTACTTCCCTCAGAAGTTAGGAAACCATCCAAAATTAATTATTGAATACAGCCCTGTGCTGCTCACTTTAGCAGCACATATATTATTGAATATAGCCCCATTTCTCCACTGGAAGAATTCCAAGATTCAACTGTTTGATTTTCAATAAATGGAAAAGCTAGATTTGTTCCCCCTTTACCTTCGGTGCTGAGAAGAACATGGGGACCACTCCCATAACTAAGGCTTTTAATCTTCTTTCCACATAAGGCTTCTAGCTTCTTGGGTACAAGTGTACTCCGATTATCTCCAGTTCCTAGGCAATTACTATAATTCAGTCCAAACACAAAGACCTAGAAAACAAAAGTTTGTCAGAGTTATCTGGCCCGAAGTTATACTAAAAGCTCCTTTCTCAGTCAGTCACAGTGGTGCATGAGAGTAATTCCAGCACTCTGGGAGGCTGAGGCCAGAAGGTCACAATTTCAAGTCTATCCCCCAAAATTTAATGACCTAGCAAGACCCTCTCTCAAAAAAAAAAAGAAAGAAAATCTAAGAAGGGCTGGGGATATAGCTCAGTGCAAAGGCCCTGGGTTCAAAATTTAAAAATAAAAAAGTAAACAAAAAAAATCCACTCTTTGTCTATAAGGCACACTCAAGTCCAATTTGATAGCTTAGTAGATAAGAAGAGATGGATATGGTTGCCTGGAAAAGTTCAAACTCTGCTGACATTACTTAAGTTTTATACTATTTATACATTATGGGTCAGAGTACCACCAAATCAAGAAATTGAAGAGAGAAATTTTATAAAGGGTACAATCTTCCAGAGTTCAAGTTCTCTTTATCCTGCACTTTTTCTCTGTCTTCAAACTGCATGATCTGAATCCCGCCCCAAAACTAAATCGCAGTTTGCAGAGTCTTACCTCATCATTGTCAGTGACGTAAAGTGCTTCATTGCCTGAGGTACCGAAGACACATGCTTTCCGAATAGAAGCAATTTCTTGAGGTGAAAGCAGAGTAAAGATTGGCCACTTTCCTACATCCACCATGACTCTGACTTGAAGCAATTCCTATACATAAGCTGACATTGCTGCTAGAACAAACAAGAGATTCTAAGAGAAATTAAATAACTATTAAACTTAAAAAAGAAAGTCCTCGCAATAAAAAGCTCATTCCAAAATGACTTACCTTCACTTAAGTATATTACTCACTTTCCCCAGTGATCCTTCCTCTACTTTCAGACATGAGCCTTTTCCTGTAACAAGGGCACAATATACTAGAACCAGTCATTTCTTGCTCTGACCACTTACTAATCAGATTTATCTGTTCCACACATTTTATACATTCAGACTGCAGATACTAAAGATATGCTACCTAAATAGAACCAGGGTCTCCCCTCATGAACATTTCCCTCAGATATTCAAAATAAGTTATTAGTTTGTCTAAAATAGTCAATTCTCAATTAGCAATGTGTATGTGGTTTTATGATAAAATTCAGAAGTATTACCTCTACTTCCCCACTGTCCAACTTCCCTCCGCAGGATACCTTAAACACCCCATCCTTGTAGAGGATCACTGCCATGTGAAGCCATTATTTAATGATGGCAATGAGAGCACAGGGCAAGCAAAATTTTAAGCAGCATTCACTTAAGATTTATTGAGGTGGGGAAAGGTAGGAAGGTAAAAGAAAAAAACAGGAGAAAATGAAAAAATGGAAATAAAGTGTTTGTAAACAGGGAGGGAAGAGGGGGTGAAGGGAGGGCAGGGACAAGGGGAAAAAATGAGAACTAAGACCTGTCATGTAAAGGTAGAAGATCCCAATAATGAATGTAACTGTACTGTATGCTGAAAATGTACCAATAAACTCAATTAAAAAAAGAAAATATTATATTCCATTTCTAATTTCTTTGATCATATTTTACTTCACATTAACAAAATTTTTCATATAAAGAAAGATAAGGCAGTTCACCTCAATCTTGGTGATAATTTGATGACTATACTATAGCCTTCACATAAGTTGCAATTAGCTTAAATGGTACCCTACAAGTAGAGAGATGTGTAAGTTTCCATAAAACATCTAAACTTCATCTGTTTACAGAGTTTTATATAAAGAATCCTGGTCAGGGCTCAAATTTTTTTAAGGTTAAAAAAAATATCTAGACATTCCAGTGGTCTTCAGAGTACAAAATCATATTGTGCCAAGTGAACTTCCATTCTGGCTCTCACCACTGGGAAGTGAAAGAATAAAAACAGGGATTCCTGATGAGGACCAGAACATTTGAAGTTCCTTCCTTCTCTCAGACTTCTAAAAGTAGGGAAGAGAGACAGGCTCAAAACCAAATTTCTTTTGGCTCCGATCCCCCCCACCATTTAGCACATGTTGAGAGCACCTTGAGCTTGAGCATGCTTAGTCAGTAACACCTCAGTTCCTACCATCCCAGAGAGATTTTTTTCCATGAGCACCAACTAGGATGACAGGAACCAAACTATCAGCCCCAAGCATCATACCATATTCATTGAGGATTAAAAACATCAAAATATACTATGCTCCGCCACTACACAGCCAGATTCCCTCAACATTTGAGCATTCTGACAAGTGTGCAGGCATGAATATGTATACATGTTCTTAGACACTATTTTTTTTGTGTGTGGGGACGAGCAAAGGACTTAGTTTTTAAAATGCATAAACATGGTTAAAAACACTCTTTCAAGGGCTGGGCAGGGTGGTGCATGCCTGTAATCCCAGCACTCAGGAGGCTGAGGCAGGAGGATCGCTGTGAGTTCGAGACCAGCCTGGGGTACAAAGTGAGTTCCAGGTCAGTCTCAACTACATAGTGAGACCCTGTCTCAAAAAACAAAACAAAACAAACAAAAAAACACTCTTTCAAATGGTACAAGGGCTGGGGTTGTAGTTCAACAACACTGTACCCATCTGGCAAGTGCAAGGTCCTGAGTTCGATTCCCAGTAGTACAAAAAAAAAGTAAATAAACGGTACAAAAGAATACAGGAAATCAAGTCTCCCTACCATCTCTCTCTGACCATCTCAAAACCAATCACTCTATTGGCGAGGGACGCAACCCAGTGGTAAAGCACTTGCCTAGCACACATGAAGCTCTGGTTTTGATCTCCAGTACTCCAAAAAGAAAAAAACACCCCAGGGCACACTATGTGCCATACAGAACAAGAAGACAAGGTCTTCAAATAGGCTGTGTAGTATTTCCATCCCATCCTAAGGCAACAGTGTAATGTAAATACCACCAAAATGTTCTGATTAACTCAAAATTGTCACTGACCTTGCTACAATTTGATTACAGTGTTGAGGTGTCTAATTACTACATTTTCCTGGAGGCAGTGTCACCTCTGCTTGTATTTTTTTTTTTTAATTGCCAGGAATGGTGGCACACTGAATTCTGAGGTAAGATCGCAAGTTCAAGCCCAGTGTGGGCAACTCAACAAGTTATCAAGATCCTGTGTTTGAAACAAAGAGGGTGGGGGATGCAGTTCAGTGTGAAGCCCTTGGATTCAATTCCCAGTACTGCAAAATAAACAAACAAAACAATATACTAAGTATCATGATTCTATCAATTTGAAGAATTATAAAGTATATACCACCAAGTGAAACAAAATCAGGAAGAATTAAAAATTAATTAAGATTTGATCTCTTATAAAATCTACATTAGCCTTAAGTATCCTGGGCCTAACAATGACTCAAAAATGCAAAGTTAGGATAAACAATATTACAACAGTGCTGGTATTTTATGACATCTATTAAATTTTCCTAAACCTGAAAGAGAAGTATTAATATATTTGTTCTATCTAGATTTCATGATAAAGGACTATATAGTTCATCTAAATTTCATTTAAATCACCATCCCAAAGGTTGCAGAGTATTTCATATGCTTCAAATTATAAGATGTGAATGATTTAAAGAACTGAGGGGCACTGCTAATGAGGAAGAATCTTCAACTGGCCTGCTCAAACCAGGCTTCTCTGACAGGCTTATACTTTGGTAAGCATTCAGCAGTGCTTAACTAGCACCCTAAGAAAGGTAACTCAATGCTTTCCCTTCTTGTGGTACTATACATGCTGCAAATGGTAGCCACTATCACAGAAGCATCCCAAAGAAAGATGCCAACACAATGTATAATACAACTAAACCACGTGCTCATTCCCCAAACAAAACCCAACAAAAATGTACCCTGGAAGATTCAGCTATAATAGCTACATTATAAAACAATATATAATGTAATATATTTTAAAAATAAAAATAAAATATATAGAGAAAATAGGCTAAAATTTCTCTCTCTGAAAAGATTACAGGTGGCATATTATTGCTTTTCACTTTTAAAATATATTCCAAAATTTCTAGAATTTTATGTGATCAGTAAAAATAAATATTTGAGCTGGGTATGGTATCCTATGCCTGGAAAGCTAAACAAGAAGGATGACAAGTTGAAACCCAGCCCAGGCAAATCAGCAACTAAGCAAGATCCTGTCTCAAAATATAAATTAATAAAATCAAAAGGACTGGGGATTCAGCTAAGTGCAAAAGTTCTGGGTTCAATCCTCATTACCACAAAAAATAAACATTTTAAATGAAATGAAAGCTTTATTATTTCTATTATAGTTTGTCTCCTGTTAAAAATTTTTAAATATATTCCTTCTATAGATACATAACCTAGAGTGGTGGATTATCGGCAAAGTATGCAAAACAAAATATAAAATTAAAAGTAGAAGATGGAAATATCAAATGTTATAGGTACCATGGCTTAGACTTATTAGTCAGCTTTTCCATTTCTGGGACACAATACCTAAACCCAGACTTAGAGGAGAGGCAATTTAGCTCGTGGTTTGCTGGGACTGAGCACATATCTGGCTGGCTCCAAGGCAGGAACACCATGGTGCAAGGGTATGGAGAAGCAAAGGGCCTTCGTTCAAGGTGTCTGAGAAGCACAGCAGGGAGCAGCACCATAGAGAAAGAAGTGAGGAATCAAGAATAGACCCCAAGGCACACCCACCCAGACACACCAAAAAGTACACTCCAACTGAGCCCCCAGGGGAAGCCCAAGCCCAATCAAACTGACATTCTACCTTAACCATAACAAAGTCGATTCCATTTTTACTATACACCCAAAAGAATGAAGAACAAGGACATAAGCAGATAACTGCTTAGCAATGATGAGAGCAGTGTTATTTACAACAGCCAAGATAAGGAAACAACAAAAATGTCATTGACAGATGAATGGATAAACAAAAGGTGATATATACATACAATAGAATATAAAACTGCCTTGGAAAGGAAACTGATATGTGCTACAACATAGATGAACCTGGAAGTTACCATACTAATGTGAAATAAACCAGCACAAAAGGATAAATATTATATGGTGCATTTATATAAAGTACCCTAGAATCTGGGCATGGTGGCACACACCTATAATCCCAGCACTCAGGAGGCTGAGGCAGAATCCCTGCCAGTTGGACTACAGAGTGAGTTCAAGACTGGTCTGAACTACATAGCAAGACCCTGTCTCATAAATAAATACATAAATAAATGGGTATCCAAGAATAGTCAAATCCATAGACAACAGAATAGAGGGGTGGTGGAAATGGGATGTTATAATTCAATGAGCATATTGTTTCACTTCAGGATGGTGGGAAAATCCTAGAGATAGATGAAGTAATAGCTACATAACAAATGAACGTACAGAGTTACTGAACTGTATTCTTTAAAATGGTAAATGTCATGTAATGTATATTTTACATCTATAATTTTAAAATATATAATTTTTAAAATTGAATAATTACCCATGGGTAATTAATAAATTCAAAGATATATTTTTAAAATTTAATGTAGAAAGGTCTTAAAAATTACTTTTGGAAAAGTACAAGCATATAATCGTGCTTCATTAATTCTGTCTTGGGAAATTTAACTTCAGAGTAGAGATATTCTGAATGGAATATTTTTAAAAGAAATAGCTTCTTTGAACTTTCTAGCACATCAATCAAATTAGACTCAATGAACTGCTAAGATGACAGTTCTTCCAAGGGCTTGACTGATAATCATAAAAATGATGATCTGTAATTAACATGTCAATAATATTAAAGTTACTTTTGAAGTACTTCACTAAGATGATAGTTTTCTGATATCTTTATAACCCATATTTTATCAAGGAAAAGCCTCATAAATAGCATTGACTCATTTAGGTAATAGGTGAATAAATGATTATTTTTAACTGTATGGTGATAAAGCAAGGGTAGAAGAACAGAAAAGATAAATACAAGCAGAGGTAGAAGAGTTAAATACCTCCATCTACATGAATCTTTGTATTTTCTTTGCCACTTGAAAAGACATCCTGTGTCCCCAAAGGACTTGCTCTACATCCATTAGTACTAATGATCAATATCCCACTCCCTGGTATGGCACTGTCCCTAAGACAGTTTGTGGCAGGGGAAGAAAAGGTTGTCTTATTTTATAGCCTAAAAAGCAAATTCAATCAGGAAGACAAACACAGACCTTCCAATTTTAGAAATCTACATTTAGAGTTGGGAGGGCTGAAGTGGAGCAACAACAAATCTTTTGATTCCTCTAAGAGCACATTTATTTTACTTTCCCCTAGGAACCAAGAACTAAGGGAGGATGGGAGACGATTTTATTTAGCAAAAAATACATTTGAAGATGCTTATGGAGTCTGAAAAACAGGAAATAGATAAATAGTACCGGAAATTTTTATTTTGATGAAGTAATGGTCTCAATATTAAAACTAGAAATTTAGCATTGACCCACATATCTCAATCTCCTCCCTTATTCTAACCATGCAGTATCTGGCACCAAGAGACTTTTCAACTTTGGACCTCCCTTTTGCTAACCTGAAAATTTTCCAAGAAAAAGAGACCAGAGGGATCCCCTTAAAATGTCCTAAGCATTCTTTAGCATACCTGCAATAAGCCAGGTTTGGACTATTAGAAATAACAATGTTAAATATGCAAAATTATTTATTTTCTAATTGCAAGAAGCTTTTAACTAAAGCACTTAGGCATTAGCTGAAGATTTCTAATAGAGGTCCTTCAACTTCATAAACTGAATGGGGAGGATTTTAGCTGCTAAAGTGCATGAAAATAGAACTTATTTATACTTAATGAGATACTGATAGTCTATCGTGCCTCCAAAAATAAGCACTATTGTATGATAATGTGAACAAAACAACAGCATATATTACTGATTCTTTTCTAATCATCCTAGATACCAGGAATCCTGGGGATTTTGTACTACAGTCCATGCAATACATGTCATAGACTGTATATCTGCATATTGTATCCTGTTGTTTGCTTAATTATTCCAATTGTATTTACATTCTGGGTTTACTCTCACTTAGGATCTGGCTTTACATTAGACTTTCAGATCCTCAGAGGCAGGGATCTTGATTTGGGTGTTCTTTACAATCTTAGAAACCAAACTCTTTTTTTTTTTTTTTTTTTTTTTTTTTTTGTACTGGGGGTCAAACTCAGGACCTTATGCTTGTGAGGCAGGCACAGTGCCACTGAGCTAAATCCCAGCACCTTAACTGTACAGTCTAACAGATTATATAACAGCTGGTGATTTAGCTCAGTGGTGCTGCACCTGCCTTGCAAGCAGTTTCTGAGCTCGATCCCAGGTACCAAAAATAAATAAATAAATACATGTTAAAATAACATGATATAATAAATGTAAGCATTTCCACAGTGAAGATCATCTAGTTTCCTCCAAAAGCAAGTGGTCTTCATGCTGCTCTTCCTTTTTTAATCAATGAACGGTCCCACTGTAGCACAAAAGTTTTAAGAACATGGCCTATTTTTTTTTTCCTTTTTCCAGTACTGGAAATTGAACTCTGGGCCTTTGTACTGAGCTACATCTCCAGCCCTTTATTTTTTGAGATAGGATCTTGCTAAATTGCTTAGGTGGGACTGAAATTTGTGATCCTCCTGCTTCAGCCTCCTAACTGCTGGCATTTGCCACCATATCCAGATCTTCTCTATTTTTGAATACATTATATTTCAACTTCAGGAAAACCCAAATAAAAGAGTTCTAGGGTTTGGAGTAAACTTTTTTAAATACAACCTTGCAACCGTGTCATCCATTTATGCTGCAGTAAAAGTAATTCAAAACACAGAAAAACCACATGCTACTCACACCCACTTCTTTCATACCTATTCTGATGGACTTTTAGAGACTAAGAAGATGCTTACTTAGTATAGTGCCTAGGCCTAAAGAAGCCGAGACAGAATCAGCCTCAAACATTTCAAAACAAAAATATAATATGATTTCACCCAGTCGATAAGGGCTGCAAATAAAACGCAAAGTTTCAGAGATTTTTGGGGGCACTAGTCCTCTCACTGCCTTAGCTGCTAAAACAGTTGCTCTCCACTTCTCTTTTTTCAAGTTCACAGAACTGTGAGAATGAAAGGAAAAATAGAGTATCTTGAATTTTGACAAATACCACAAGACCAGTAAGCCTGAAAATGCAGCATTCTCCAAAAAGTTTTTCAGCCTTAATA